TTACATCAGACATCGCTTTACACAAAAAATTGCAATTAATTGCAATTATTTCGTCATTAATTGGGTTTCAATTAATTCATGATAATTTTTAATTGATTTTAATTGTATGACGTATGATAAAAATTAATTGAAATTGATTTTTCGGTAGGCCTGAAATAATTATATACATTACGTATTTTATACGTAAAATTTAAAGTTTAATATTAGGTTTAGAATATTTGGGTTTAAAAAGTTTTTATCTATAGTATATATAAAAATTATGCTTTATACAATATTGTTAATATTTTTAGTTATATATATTATAATGCTTTATTAAAAATTTTTTAACCTTGGTACTTAGCAATGAAAAAAAAAAAAACACAAGTTATTTAACAATACTGTACGTATACACGGCACGTATTTAAATTATATGTATTTAAAATTTTTTTTTGATTTGATACGTATTAATAAAAAATTCCGATTACCATTACAATAAAATTATGAAAAAAAAAGAGATTTCAAAACTGTGATTTACACATATTTAATAAAGTACTGTAAGTTGAAATTCAATTTTTTACAATAGAGGATCATCATTTGAAATTCCAAAAAAAAATTTTTTACAAATGAGCTGTTGCATTTTTTTTTGATTCAAAAAAGGCTCTATAATAAACACACTGTCAGCTAGTCAGTTTGATCAAATATGAGTAGCACCAGAATCGGCGTCAAACTTTGTACTTCCAAAAAGTATTAAATTTTCTAGTTCTGTTGACTCGTGAACCAGGTTACTAATCACGTTTCTGATGTATCGTATAGAGTATTGATTTTCAGACCTTCTTCGGCAACAAAAAGTAAGGATAAACGAAAATTTGACTCAAGAAAGATCAGAGCACTAGGATCATCAAATGACAATGACAATCCATCCTTGAAGTTAAATCCAGCTATCATGACAGATAACGAGCATGGCCTGCCGTTCACTGAGAATCACAACAAAAAGATCATTTTTAGAAATATTCCAATTATTCGATTATTTAACAAATAAATTCTAAAATTCGAAAGTAGGCCTTCTTTTTTTCGATTATCCTTTATTATAAAAATACCTTTATTATAATGAAAACTGGTGAAGATCAAAGGATAATTCGACCAATTTTTACGTCATTCACAGAAATAATGCTCGAAGACGTGATGAGTAGAAAGATCATGAGCAGAAGTGAAGTAGTAAATGAAGCTTGGTTAAAAGGCCAAAGAAGGTTTAATGATACATTTGTAAGTAAGTTGTAGTTGAAAAAAGGCAATGTTTTTTTTCAAAAGACAAATTCACACGCCTATATTAAAAAAAGAATGTTATGAAACGACATGCTCGCATCAACCAATCGCCAAAAGAGAGATATACACGACGATTCTGGTTTGGCGTCCACTCGTAAAATATTTTTTCTTGAAATATGTACACCTGATTTTACCATTGCTTCACTGCCAGTTCTTTAAGTGGAAAGTACGCTACAGATCAAAAAGAAGGTTCCCGATGCAACTAACTATTGTTGGATAATGCTAGGTCTGATAAGATGATGTCAATAATTTATTTTATAAGTTAACTTTATAGTGTATTATAGCATATTATATATATTTGAAGAGTACTATTAAAGTTACAGATAAATCTA